TGCCAACATCCCCCAGGCTTGAAGAGCGTGCTTCACTGCGAGCCGCTCTTTGCCAGTCGGAGGCCGGCAGGGAATTCTTCCAGGTTGGAAGCAGCAAAATTGAAGCAGATATAAGCAGATGCATGTCTTTGGAAGCAGGAAGCAGAGCGAGTCTTCCTGGATGCGTTGACAGTCAGCACGCTTCTGTCTCTTCTCGATCTGCCACTCCCTCTACGTCCTTTCAGGTGGCATCCAAGGAGCTCGAGTCCATCAAGCAGCAGCTGGTGGAAGAGGCGTGCTCATTCGGATCAGCGCCGACCAGTTGTAAGGTGCTGCGAAAATCAAGTTGGAAGCATTTCCTGACGTGCTGCAGTGCAGAATGCTGCAAGAACCACAGGCCCAGACAGAGGCGTCATCCCTACGCGAGGAGGCTGCCCGGCAGCGACTCGTTTGCAAGGAGAGGGGCTCCGATGATTGCAGTGCAAAAGTGGGACTCAAGTGCTCCAGCTGTAGCTGCACCAAACTCCCCAAGGTTGGCAGAGGTCGCTTCACTACGAGCTGCTCTTTGCCAGTCAGAGGCCGGCAGAAATTATTCCAGGGTGGAAGTAGCAAACATGAAGCAGATGCATGTCTTTGGAAGCAGGGCGAGAGCGAGCTTCCGGGATGTGTCGACTTTGCAGGGCACGTCAGCACGGTTCTCCTTCTCGCTCTGCCACTCTCTTTGGGTCGTTTCAGGTGGCATCCAAGGAGTTCGAGTCCAGGAAGCAGCAGCTGGTTACAGAGGCGTGCTCTTTCGGATCAGTGCCGAACAGTTGGAAGAAAGTCCTGACGTGCCGCAGTGCAGAAAGATTCACAGGCCCATACAGAGACGTCATTCTTACGAGAGGAGGTTGACAGGCAGCGACTCGACTGCAAAGAGGGGGCCACATACAGCAATGAGTTTCTGATGATTGCAGTGCAAAAGTGGGTCTCAAGTGCTCTAGCTGTAGCTGCACCAAACTCCCCAAGGTTGGCAGAGGTCGCTTCACTGCGAGCTGCTCTTTGCCAGTCAGAGGCCGGCAGGAATTATTCCAGGGTGGAAGTAGCAAACATCAAGCAGATGCATGTCTTTGGAAGCAGGGCGAGAGCGAGCTTCCGGGATGTGTCGACTTTGCAGGGCACGTCAGCACGGTTCTCCTTCTCGCTCTGCCACTCCCTCTCTCTGGGTCGTTTCAGGTGGCATCCAAGGAGTTCGAGTCCAGGAAGCAGCAGCTGGTTGCCGAGGCATCATACGGATCAGGGAAGCATAGGGAGTTCGTGCGGTGC